TGAAATGGTTGAGTAGTTTAGGTGTAGTGGCATACATATACAGAGAAAGGAACCATTAGGGTACAAAACTACCTTCAGTGATTGCCTAGCACCCTTTGCAGACCTAACTTCCATGTAGCTGCATTGATTGATCTCATTCTCGTTGTGAGGCAGCAAACTTTCAGAAGATATAAACAAATTACACATACTTTTATGTAGATATTTATGCATACATAAAAGTATCTCATTTTTCAAATCCCATATTTATTTTGCTTCTGCTGCCAAACCATGCCTTGCCAACCTAAATATGCATGCATGTCATGTATGCAGGCACCCGAGATGCTGAAACCAAAACAGTCTCTTTCAGGGAAAAATGTTTTAGGGTTGGATTTCTTCTTGTCTGTCTGTAACTTTCTAACTGTATCAAAATGTCTAGTGCTGTTTTAAAATATCAAAGCAACCCCATGATGGTAGGATGAAGCGTGAGTTGTATAAAGAGCATCTAAAAAGTAAGTTTTAAAGTTTCGTGGGACAGTAGAGGAGGTGCTCAGTGCCTCGGGAAGGTCTTTTGTGGGGGACCCGTAGCAGAACGTGGCTGTGAGAGCTGGAAAAACCTGGCTTTCCAGCAACACCGTGGAGTGCAAACCTTGGAGATGACAGCTAAGCATTTACAGAAAGAGTAAGGTCTTCCTGATACCTGAAGTTTTACCTCCATGTGGAGCAGAGGTTTGCTTTGCTGGGTGGACTACAGCCTATCAATAACAAATCTCAGCTTTCATAGATAGAAAACAAATGCAAAAGTGAGCTTTGAGTAACTAACCTTCTTACCCGTCACTGAAATGCTCTATTGGCCTGCCTGTTCAGTGCTCAGGTGGCCGGTCTGCCATCTGTCAAACAGGTATACGAGGAAGTTCTCCTGACACACATGTCTAAAAGTTAATTTTCCCTGTGCTTTCCTTTTTTTTGCCCCTTCCCCCTTTTTTTAGGCTTTCATGTGCACCCACTTCCCATCCCTAGTCTTCCCTAACCCCACTCGCTAATTTTCTGCTTGAGTAACCAACTAAACTCTAGTGTGCCTGTATCACTGTTTACATGCTTACGATAAAGAAAGCTCATGCACGTCACGTAATAAGTGATAACTGTTTTAAATTCTGCGTAACTGTATATAAAAGCACGTGGCAGTTTTATAAACCGTTAGCTTACACTTGGTATGCAATTTGTAAGAGTCCTGCCCCTTAAACTGCAGAAGTATTTGATGTTGTGCTAGTGTTGATGGTTTCTGCCGTTACGCAAGTTTGAGAATATGAGAATTGCTCCTGTTTGACTTGAACGTTATCCCTTTCCTGTTTACTTAGAGGTGCACTGGAAGCTTTTTAGAAAATCTTCTGTCTGTCTTGTGCTTGCAGCTATTAATTCTTGTATAGATTTTTACTGTAGCCTCTTTTTCTAAAGATACGTATTTCCTCTGCTAGAGAGTAATTCAATAAAAATATAAACATTGTTTGTCTAAAGAAGGATCTCCAAACGTTAGGTTTTTCTTTTTTTTTTTTAATTGTTAATTTTCCCTTCCCTAGAAGCAGCCATATACATCCCTAGCTCCATTTTGAAATCATTGAGGTTCATGTCCTTTACTAAGCAAGCCATTTAAATGCAAATATTTGGATTTAGGCTTTTATTTCTAACAGGTAGATGTCAGGAAGATCACATCACCGTTTTCAATCAGTGAAAATAAAGCCTTCTCAGGAAAGCATTTTAGTCTCTGCCTTCTCACTCATATGGGAAGGGAAGACTCCCTGATTTGGGGCATGTGACAGAGGTTGGGTAACCTGTGGTCGGTGCCTTTTTCCCTTTCTTCTGCTAGCTTGTAAAATCAAACATAATGCAGGCCTTAATTTGTTTTCTGGTTGTTAAAGGCAAAGTTGACCTTGAAAGCACAGAAGTGAAAGTAATGCTAGCAGGAAAAATCACCGTGTTTTTAAAGACTCTTATGACATTTTTATGACAGTTGATTCACTGCGGCTGTAAAGCGTACAAAAAGTACCTGGTCTTTCCTATTTAGAAATGCGCAGCTTTTATGGTTGAAGGAAAAACATTTGCAAGCAGGTTATTTTAATTCTACATAGACGTAATCATTTCAGATAGATAAGGCTGGCGTTAAGATTTCTATGCAACAGACAAGTGTCATTGCAGACTGGGGACATATGAAGTAGTAGCAGCGAGGACACGGGGACGGCGAGCTGTGCCAGACCCGGGTGTCCTGGATACACCCTGCTATTGCTAGTCCCTGCGGGAGTCTGTAGGTCCGTTTCCTTGTTGTTACTGCTAACAGTTTACATTAAAGCGACGATGTTTCTTCCTCCTCGCGAAGTTGGATGTCTCATTGACGTCCGCAGTATTAAAACAGAGTCTCTCAATTGCACCCATTTTACTTGTATCTCTCTGTTTAATGGCATTTATTCATATAAAATACGACGATACCTGTAATGTTAGTCACAGAGCTCTTGCCAGCCTTTGGGATTCATCACCTGTATGTATCTGAAGAGACTATATGGCCTGCTGCAAAACCCTCCCTGTATCTCTAAAGTATGTTTACCGATGGGTGGGCTCAATTTAGATGTCCCAAATCACATTTTAATATAATTCATAAGTCACGCTGTAAATCATAAAATAAACTTCCATTCTCAACGTACAACCTGCTTGTATACGATATCAAATTCTTTCAGATGGTGATTGCTACGAAAAAAGATCAATAACATTGGTTAAACTGTGGCTTAATTTCTTTAAAACAGGGCTTGCTGTAATAAGTTGGCCTCACGCAATGGGAACGTCTGATGCAAAACTCTTGCTGGACTGGGTAGCTCTGTGGAAGCCGAATGGGATGAATGTTTGCGCAGGGCCGTTTCTTCTGTGTTCTGCAGAAAAATCACGCACCTCTAAAATAAACCTGCCTAGCATTTAGTTTTGCATGCCTCGTACTAAACGTTTCTTCCGTTCCTATCATTAATTTATGTGAAGCATAAAGTACGGGTTAAACCACACAGTGCCTGAATCTACTTCTGTACTTGGGAAGGGTAATGGACGCAGTAGATCAAAGAGGATGTTAAAACTTGGGGAGATGAAGGTTTTCTCTGCACTTTTGTTTGCTCTCCTGTCTTGGTGATTTGCACCTACTAGTAAAATAGTGCTCGTATGAAAGCTGGCTGATGCAGCTGCAGGTCGGCATCTGGAGGAACTGCGCTAACAACGGTGGCTTCCTGACCGTGATGTCTCATCCTAACACGCTCCCAAAAATCCCAAAGTGCCCTGCTAAGTATGTCTCAGCCAACACTTTTGTGTCGCTGGCTAGTTGCTAAGACATCACCAACCAGTCAGTGAAGCTAAGCAAGAGCTTGCAGGTAGCAGTTTGAGCTGTGATGTGAACAAGATGCCGTAGCACATCTAGGCAAACGCGGGCCTTGTCCTGCAGACCTAAAACCTAACGCAAAAGGAGACAGTGGTGGGGTGGTCCATAGGGATGTGGGGCTTTGGCCTCAGGTGCAGGCCTTCAGCTTCCTGTAGCAGGTGAAGACCGCTAAGTCATGATGCTTTCCCCGTTCAGGATGCTCATAGGTATGTTTGGTCTTGAAAAGCACATGTTTTGGCAAAGTTCAGAAAGGGCAAGTCTCTTTTAATAACTCCGTACTCATCAAGGTGGCTGTTGTTAGCTTATTAAGTCAGCAAAAGTTTATTCGCATCGCTCAGTAACGAATGTCTAGGTGGGCTGAAGGGAGAGCACAGGGTACAGGTTGTTCTCACCAGCAAAGATGAAAAACTACTTGCAAACATAGTACGTGGTCTTGAATAATGAATGTTTTTCCTTTGTAGGGGTAAAGACACTGAGCTGTTCAGTCTTGACCTTAGCTGAACTAAGCAATTGGCTGTTTTGTTCTTAATGCTTCACTCAGAAGCGTGTCAGAAAGGTTTGTGCCGATAAACCAAGGAGACAGATTTCACGCGGTCCCAGTGTAGCACCTCTTCTGAGCCAGTCTGCCATCTGCAGGCCAGTACTTTCCATGCTAAGGAGGTGTAGAGGGGGCCTTGTGTTTCTATTTCTTTCTTTCCTCCTGTGCAGCTTTCCTTTTCCAAACATTTGCAACAGATTTATTCCCAGGTAAATACTGCATGATAAATCCAGTTTGGTTCTGCCCCGTCCCATAGATAGTCCCCTGCAGAGGTAAGCAAGCCTCCGTAGCTGCTCTCTAAAAGTGAGCGAATAATTGCTTTTTCTTTTACTGCCCGTTGTTCGATTTTTCTCATAAGTAAGCATTTGTATACTTGTAAATCGGATGTTTCATGTGATCATCAAATTCTGTCTGTCATTCTCAGTCCGTTAAATCTTTAATAGCTCTTTATAGGGGTGGTCTTAGATGTGCAATACTATGATAACGTTGAAGTCACGTTGAACCTTAACAATTTTGTTGAGAAGGGGATATATCGGTATGCTACAACCCTAAAGCTTTCCAAGCAGCTCCAAGGTTTCCTTGGTTTTTTTTTTGTTTTTATATATCCACAAACGAATAGAGGATTCAGCAGGGCTATTGGGCTCCTACACACCAGACCCGGGCTGTTTTTCCTTACAGCATCCCCCCACCCTCCCTGCCCCACCATCACCAAAAAAAATTCAGCGTACACAGCAAAGTTCAGCAAAAGCGTGATTTCTCAGACGGTGGTAACTAACCTAGACTAGGGATGTGACTGTTAGATCTCTCATTTTTTAAATTTTTATTTCAATATCTTTCGTATACCTATTGTTGCCTTCTCATTGCCCGAGTATGCGAAAGATATACGAGCGGTGCGCTCCTTTGTCTGTTAGCGGTTCCTTTATCATCGATGAGAAATCTAATCGAGTTGTGAATTTGGGAGGGAGTTTACTCTAGGTAAATTACTGTTCGCTTTTCAAAAGTGTAAGAAAACGTCATGTATAAAGTAAAAAGCTTTGTGTGTACCACATAACCTTTACATCGTTTTTGTCTTTGTTTTAGGTCTTCCCGAACAGTACTACAGCCTCACTTGGTTCCTTAGCCCTATCCTGGGCTTGATCTTCACTCCGCTTATAGGTTCGGCTAGTGACCGCTGCACACTGAGCTGGGGCCGCCGGCGGCCTTTTATTCTTGCTCTCTGCATTGGTGTCCTCTTTGGAGTTGCACTTTTCCTTAATGGCTCTGTCATAGGTAAATAATGAGGAAATCACCTGCGTATTTTTCTAGCAAACATTTATCTGATTTAAGATTTTTATGTTAGAAGCAAAGATAACGATGTGCAGTTGATGAACTTAGGTTTAAAGGCATTAGAAATCTCTGCAACATTGCATGTGAGCTCTCCATCTTAAATGTTTTCATTCTCATTTGAAGGTTACAGTGCGGTGCTGAGTATTGTGCAATCGTAGCTGTAGCTGTTAATACACAGTTACTAATACAATGGTTGCCAGCATAATGTTTGCAGTTGCTGAGATGAATTTGGTCAATCCTTGACATGGGAAAATTGTAGCAACCTGTTCACAGGGAAATGTTTCCTGTTGTGATCCATTTTCCCTTTAATGCATATCTGGCAACACATCCTGTTTCCAGCATTATTTCAAAAATTATCTTTTCACTTTTTCTTGTTCTTTTCTTAGACCTGGTATTGAAAAAGTCCAGAACACGGTTAATATTTGTTTATCAAAAAACTATGTGGGAAAATAATTTTTCCTGAGCCCCCATCAAAGCTGGTAAAAATAGTTTCCCTTGAACATAGTTTACTACAGAACTTAATCTACAATCTAAGACTCTTTGTAAATTTAGTGTAGGAGAGGTGACAGCAAGTACATTTGGGGAAATGTTTACATCATGGTTGGTCTGATGCAAATGAAAGGAACTTAGCACCTAATAATATCCTGTTGGCTCTCTTTTTTGGGTTAGATGCAGCTCTATTGTGAAAAAGTTTTACTAATTCAGGGAAATGTGTGGAACATTACCTTGGCTCAGCACATTAGCTTTTCAAAGCCAGATTGAGATGCCATATGATAGCTTTTAATTTTCTGCAAATGGCAGTGGACAGACTGTTCCGATTAATGACATTTAGCTCATGTTCTTTGAACTTATCCAAGCAATCAGTATGAATGGTATGAAATTGGTATCGTATGGTATCATTTGGACTTTGTCTTTGTTGTCTCTGCTCTAAGACTTATCCCTCCTCCAGCAGATGCAGACAAAATGTTAGATTGCAGCCCTGGTACAAGATTTTCTTTGCTCTTACTTCCACACTTTAGTTTAGGTCCACAGCCGTTGCTGCTGGCAAGCAAAGCTAATACAGAGCCTGTGTTTTTATTTGGAAGTATCTCACCTTCTAATAAATTAGCACAAAATGCTGCCTTCAGTTTTCCTAATTCTTTGTTACCCAATAATGCAGTCTATTGCGTTGCTTTGTAGAAAGCCTATGCTTTTCAGATAGTGCGGTGCTACTTTTGTCCAGTGAAATGTCTTTAAAAGACAGAGGTTATTGCAGTGCACTGAGGAAGTGAGCCGTGTTCTTGAGGTTTCCATTCCTGGGATGTGGTTGTAGTAGATTTTGAAGGAATACCCTATACTGAAAAGTGGTACAAATGCTGCTGTGCCTCTTCGGAGAGAGCTTAGAGTGAACTCAGCTGTTGGTCTTCTGTAGACCTATTTCCATACTAGAAGATGCAGGCTTGCCACTAACATTCAGTGCACATCATCATCCGATATTAACCATCTAATCTGGTATTTAGAGCAAAAGCACAATATGCTAAAGCAATGTTAGTCTCTCTGTAGTTGAACTTTGCTAAATGGTGGCTTGGACCATTTTTCAGAGAGAAGAGACATTGCTCAGCAGATTCTCACAATGGGGGCTGTCTAGAGGTTTCCAGAAGAAGACCTCATTTGTAACGAGGTTTCCTTCTAGATGGACCCTGTATGTTTTTGCATTGTCTATCTTCTTCCCACTGTATGTTCACACTTTCCTATCCTTAGTCTCCAGCTACTTGTACGCCTCGTGTCAGCTTGGGACTTCAGGAGATGCAGCAAAAACGTGAAATGATGGTTGTATGATAGCCTTTTTTCATAACCTGGCCTCTGGCGATAGGAGTCATGGGCAGTGGAACAAGGAGCACAAGGGTGTGCTACGAGAGTGCTATTGAAAGGTATCTGTAGCACTAAGGTTAATACCAGCATGTCCAAGGAGTCCACCTGTGTATAGACCCTGTCTAACTGTTGTTGTTCTCTCCACTGTAAGCACCGTTCAGGTTTTCTACAAATCTAAAGCACTGACACTGTAGATGTTTTCAGCTGTAAGGTTCAGCCTAGTGTGGAACACTTGCAAACAACTTCAGCGTTCAGAGGACTTGGTATGAAGAAAGGCTGAATATACAGGATTCGCAGCACTTGAGGTTTAGATGATTTTTGGTGACTTACCTAGTTCCTCTCTTTCCACGGTCATTTTCATCCATTGTGTTAATGATTTGAACGCTGTTGTGCATGTATAGCATCTGAATTCTCTGATTCAAAAAATTCACGCTTTTACAAATGCTTTGTTTTTTGAAAATTCTCCAGCTAAATGCTAATGCCTCTTTTCTGCTCTGTAGACAAAAAGTACTTCATCCCGTGCTCTCAACAGAAGCTGGACTGATGCTTTATGCGATGACCTATAAATACCTTCATGTCACTTCATCTTTAAAAGTTTTGTTTGTAAAAGTGATCTAGAAAATTGAAAGTTTAAGAAAAGCAGAGAGAGAGAGTTTAGGGGGGTAAATTCCTCTTTATCCTACTGTATTGCAGTCCATTTCATATTGGGCACCATGTGAAATGTCATGAATGCTGTCAGCAGCAGTTGCCTGTGTTTGTAACTCATAGATGGGGTACAGGATTTTGCTTTTGGATGCTCTCTTCCCTGACCATGGCTGTCTTTTATAAACATCAACATTTGGAATGTGAGAAAGTGAAATAATAACCAGTGCTCTCAAAGGTTTAAGAGGTGCTTTAAAAATAACATTTTGAAAAATAAACATCAGTCTTATGAAAGTAAAAACGTGTCTTCTGTCCCAGACGCTCCATGAAGCTCTGCCAAAGAATTGAAATTGCCATTTTATTCTGTAAAAGAATATTTCCAGTAAGTGTGTTGGCCACGTTTCTCTTAAGGAGATTATCCTTGCTTTGAGTAGTTTTCCCTTTTTGACTGAAATGCTCAGATTCCTCGTTGTGTTTTCCCTCAGGTCTGGCTATCGGCGATGTCCCAGACAAGCAGCCCATTGGTATCGTTCTCACGGTGCTTGGTGTTGTGGTGTTGGATTTTTGTGCTGATGCAACAGAAGGGCCAATTCGGGCCTACTTGTTGGATGTGGTGGACAGTGAGGAACAAGATATGGCCCTTAACATCCATGCCTTTTCAGCTGGTAGGTAGTTAATCGATGTGTCTTCTGCAGCTGTCCCATCTTCCTGATGGCCTAGTTGTGACTGAATTGATTTTCCCTAACCTCACTTCTCCTTTTTTTTCGTCCTTTGTCACTGCCTCTGTCTGGCTAATACTGAAGCTCGTAACGCTCTCTAGGAGGTAATATCTATATGGACCATTGACTATGGCATAGTAAAAAGTACTTGCAAAATAAAAGTGTAATATAAAGGATAAGTACAAAGAGCAGCTACCGTGGGAATAAAGCAATACAAAATGATGGTTAGCATTATAAACTTTGTAAAGCGTACATCTGGAGGTAGTTTTATGTTCCTTTTCCCTTGTGCCATAAGTATTAAAAATGGACATTTCCAAATGTGTTGGTGAACCTCATATACATAGAAGTGTGAGAACAGAGCAGTAGCCTGCAGACCTGCCTCGCGGAGAGATTCACTACTGCACTGTTCGTCAGCTGTACATTCTCACTCAAAGGCATGAACCTGGAGTGGTATCCTTGAGGCCCCACCTTTATTTTCCATTCTTTCCCCAAATGAACACCCTTCAGGCGTTGCATCTTTCGCTCTGAAACAACTATATCTTTCGGTCCAAATGTGCCAAAACCCATTCCCCTCTTGAGGCTAAGGGTGCAGCAGTACATACGGAGTGCCTCATGTATTGGCCAGGCAGCTCTCAGGTTGTTCCTGAAAAGGCTTTGTTTCACAAGGAAGGCACTTTACCAAAAAAAAAAGAAAAAAGAAAAAAAGATTAATCCTGCATGTGTGATCTTGGAGTTTACCTTAAACTGTAAACCCCAAAAGAAGGAGACTTTCATTTAAATTTGATTGAGGTTGTAAAATTCCTTTTCTTTTTTTCACTTTATTACTGGTAGTCTAAAAGGTGTGTTCGGCTTGAACTATTTTTAAATTTAACCTGGGAAATCCAAGTGTCCCAGGAATACCACAATTCAGAGTCAGCAATAACATTCCCAGGATTGCTTAGCCTCCAATCAGAAGGTAGTACTTTTTTTTATAAAAAGAGATTCTTTATTGGTGAAAGAGGAAATATGCATAGTCGACAGATCATATTTTGGAAACATCTGAGTTAAGTGATAGTGGAAAGGAAACTTGTCTGTCAGATTGAATGTACTTCTTGGCGTTTTGGGGCTGTAGTCTGTCATTTGACAAAACTCCTTTCTCTCTTCTGCAGGTCTTGGTGGAGCAATCGGTTACATGTTAGGAGGGCTGGACTGGACACAGACCTTCTTGGGTAGTATTTTTAAATCTCAAGAGCAAGTCCTTTTCTTCTTTGCAGCCATTATTTTCTCCGTCTCCGTTGCCCTCCACCTTTTTAGCATTGAAGAAGAGCAATATAACCCTCAGCAGGACAGGATTGATGATGAAGGAGACACGCTTTCTAGCGTGAAGTTCAGCGGTAGTCTCCCGCCCCTGAATCGACTGAATGTAATTAGTGAGGAAGATCCATATGGAGCCTCTATGTTCCATGATGAGGTTCAATCAGAGCATGATCTCAATATGGAGTTCCTCGAGGTGAACATTGTAAGAAGTAAGAGTGACTCGGTTCTGCACATGCCTGATGCTACGTTGGAAATTGAATCAGAGCTGCTCTTTCTGCATGACATCGAACCCTCAATTTTTCAGGATGCTTCGTACCCGAACACTCCCCACAACACCAGCCAAGAGATCATGAAGTCCAAACTCAACCGCCTGTCTGCTTTCCTCAGGGACAGTGAGAAAGAGGAGGAAATGTTGCTTGATAATCACTTAATTGAAGATAAAATCCCAAACGCAAATGGCTCCCTACCAAAAGAGTTTCTCAATGGACACGCTAGAATCGGCATGAAGCAATCTAGTACTTCAAATTCCATGCGAAGGCGAAGGCACATGTTCTATCGTCAGCCATCCTACACCTTCTCATACTATGGGAAAATAGGCTCTCACCGCTATCGTTTTCGTCGGGCCAACGCCATCGTCTTGATAAAGTCCTCACGCAGCATGAATGATATCTACGACATGCAGAAGCGGCAGCGACAGAAGTACAGACACAGGAATCAGAGTGGCACAACAAATTCAAGCGGAGACACAGAGAGCGAAGAAGGGGAAACTGAAACCACTGTCCGACTCTTGTGGTTGTCAATGCTAAAGATGCCAAAGGAGCTGCTGAGACTGTGCGTTTGTCACCTCTTAACTTGGTTTTCAATCATTGCTGAAGCTGTGTTCTATACAGATTTCATGGGCCAGGTCATCTTTAAAGGCGATCCAAAGGTAAGAGAAGAGGGTTGTGTTACCATTGGCAGACCTGCTTATCATTCCTTAATTCTGAGACGTGCTGATTAAAAGCAAATGGCTTTGCTTTTGTTTTTGGGTTTGGTTGCAGGCCCCTTCTAATTCAACTGAGTTACATGCCTATAATGCTGGAGTTCAGATGGGATGCTGGGGACTGGTAATTTATGCTGCTACTGCTGCCGTTTGTTCAGGTAAGGCACTCTGCGCAACTGAACAGTGGAATGAACCTCATAAATGTATTGCAAAATAAATTAAATTGCATACATGTGTTGCTTTGCTTCAGTGAGCATCCATCTCCATGTTTGGGGCCATGGGTACTTTGCAAAAGCATTTCACATGATCATAATGGGAGCGGCTCCTTTAAGAATCAGTATTAAAAAATCCTTTCAAATACAGAGGACAAATGAAAAGTTTCGTTGAGTGGCATAAAGCACAAAGTTATACCTAACGATATTGAATGGCATTTAGCTAGTCTTCAGTAAACTAGAATAATGCTTGATTTAAAAAAAAAAAAAAAAAAAAAAAGCTTATGTAAGAGAGTTTTTAAAAGCAAAATTTATTATTTCTGAGACAAGAAGCTTAAACTCTATTTGTTGCTCTCTAATAACAGCTACACCAGCCCCAGACCTTAGCAGTAACAATTACGCTTGGAATATAGACTCTAAAACTCGGAGCTTTTGGTGCACCTGAATTCTGCCTTTTGCAGCGTATGTGCAGGCATATTCCCACAGATCACTGTCAAGGGGATGCCTCTTTGGTGAATCGTTTCAAATCAAAGTCCAGACAGACAGCTTATTTCTGAACACAAACCGAAATGGGGCTATAACCTTGAACTATCTAATCGTTTCATTTGACGAATGGGTCTGCATTAGAAACAGAACCTACTCTGTGCTCAGAGCATAGAGTATATCTGCATTGTTAAGTTCCTAAATAGACAACATTAATTAACGCACTTCTGCTGAGCGGCCCAGGATATGCTTGAGCCTGGAAGCACTGAGTTCTGCTCCAAGTTCTGCCACGCACTTGTGGTGTGGCTCTAGGCAAGTCACCGAACTCATGTCGGTTCCCATCTGCCTTGAGCAGCGATAGGTCCTTTCCCAGCGAGGACTGAGCTATGCCACTGAGACACACCAAACATACGGAGTGCGTCCGAGTCCTCAACAACATATCAAGCTGTCACGGCCGCATCATGCCATAAAACTTCACCGAGTGAACTGATACTTATGTTTTGTTCTCGATCTCTGCAGCGTTATTGCAGAAATACTTGGACAACTATGACCTTAGTATAAAAGTCATCTACATCCTGGGGACACTGGGTTTTTCTCTTGGCACGGCGGTGATGGCTATGTTCCCCAACGTGTACGTCACCATGATAATGATCAGCACCATGGGAATAGTCTCCATGAGTATCTCCTACTGCCCCTACGCGCTTTTGGGACAATATCATGATATTAAAGAGGTATGTGAAATATTTTCATCGAGGCAGAGCATTCATGTTTCTCTGAAGATCAAAGTGACAAAATGGATTTAGTACATCCAGTTATTTGAGAGACCTACTTTGCTTGGACGTGTGCCAAGAACAGATTAATACTTGATAGTAAACAGCAAGAGCCGCTACTTAATCAGACAGAACTAGCATGAAGTTGGCTCAGTTGGATAATCATTGTGTTACCCTGTACTGAGGTGCAAAAGGATTCAAATGCATGTGAAATAATTATTGCAATATTTACTGTATATGTGGTTGTCACTCCTGTTTCTTACAGGTGTGACGTTAGCATTACTGAGGTTCATAGCAGTTTTTTAGATGTGTGGGGGGGGGAGGTCTAGAAATACGGCTATGGGTTTGGCAAGTTATAAGGCAAACTGGTTCTTCGGGATACGAGGGCTACTTTACTTTTCCATTTTTAGCACGGTTATGCTTCAGTTACAGATTCATCAGGGATCACTTATTTTAACATGTTTCTGCATGGAGATTGGGAGAGGGATTCCTATTTAAGATCACAAGAACATTTTCCACCACCGATTTCATTTGAATTTTTTACAAAGCCTAGTTTTGGGGCCAAGTTTAAGCTAGGAGTGCCCCAGTAAATATCTGCCTCTTGGTGTAAATAAGGAGGCCATTGAAAAGGAGGCTGTTGCTCTGGACGTGTATAGCCTGCGTGGTGCACAAGGTGACCACGTGGCTGAGAAGTTTCAGGAAGATGCTAGTGTCGAAATATCTGATGTCATCCTTCATTTTATCTTCTAACACATATTTCTTGTCTTTTTCAGTATATTCACCATAGCCCCGGGAACTCAAAGCGAGGATTTGGCATAGATTGTGCTATTCTGTCATGTCAGGTTTACATCTCCCAGATCCTCGTGGCCTCCGCACTTGGTGGTGTGGTGGATGCAGTTGGCACAGTCAGAGTCATTCCCATGGTGGCTTCGGTGGGATCCTTCCTGGGTTTTTTGACAGCAACGTTCTTGGTGATTTACCCCGAAGTCAATGAAGAGCCAAAGGAAGAACAGAAAGGACTCGGCCCTCCAGAGACCACCGAGAGCAGGGGCACCAACGCCGAGAAGCCAACTGTTCTGAAGCTCACACGCAAAGGGGCTGCCACGCCGGGGCTGGAGAGCGAGTCCGCTGTGTGAGGCCGTCACTCTTCGTTCACACACATTCCAGGGAGTGCAGGTGCAGGATCAGGAAACCCCCCCCCCCCTTTTTCTTTTTCCCCAGGAAAACAAATTAAGATCTTCAGTACCTGTAGCTAAAATTGCAGAAAATTGCAGGCAGTTTCATGCAAAAATGTAAATGAAATTCTGTAGTCCCTAATATAGGTTTGAACAGGTAGCTCTGATGCTAATTGCTTTCTCTACAACTTAGAAATGTCATTTCTGAACACTTTTTTATTAAGAATGCATTTAGATTTCAAATAAGTTTTATTAATCTGCATGAGACTCACAGTGTATACAATTAGCAGTTAGAAAAATTAAGTTTTCGGCTGTTTTTAAACTAACTGAAAGTGGAAGCTAATATCTTGACCTATAGTCTCTTGCTATTTTTGTCTGAACATTTCAGATTTCACTAGTACAGCACCTGAATCAAATGCTTAGACATCCCGATCAGTCTTTTTCATCAGCCCGATGATATTGGTCTGACAGCTACAATTCTTTAACATTTATTTTCGACTTCATATTTTTGTTGGTGCAATTGCTACAGAAAAGTTTTATTTGCAATCATTTTCAAGACAAACAAAAGCAATTGCTGCGGTTTCTAAGAAACTGCCGTGAATTCTTTTAGTCATACTGTTCAACAACTACTCCCGAGTCTACTGCTTGTCAGGAATGGATAGCGCTGGGTGCCTGACGTGAACCGTAGATGGAAGTAGCAGCAACTGGGAAGGCGATCAGCACTCGCAGGTATTTCTAACGCGTGCTGCATTTTGTGAATGTCATTGGAACACGCTGTGACAGTTTTTAGCTGGGAGTTTTGCGTGCTGGTGAACTTTGGGGTTTTCTCGGCATCTGAAGCCGATCGTCTCTGGATGAAGCGGTCGCGGAGAAGGGCGTCTCCGGGGCCAGCTTCCCAGAGCGGGGTGTGAGGAGTCTCTGTAGCGGGGAAAGGCAGTCGATGATTAATTGCACTTTTTACAGGCCTTTAACCTTCCGGCTGGGAACGCAGCAGCCGAGGTAAAGGCGCAGTGTCAGTACAACAAGGTAAACCGAAGGCCTACCTCTGTAACTTTATGGCATGGTCTGATTGTATAAAAATCTTTGTCAGAAAACAGTTTTTAGGCCTTAAAATTCAATCCACGAGCATGTGTTGCTGTCCCTGTCCCTGCGTTGGAGGAATTGTAGGCTTAAGCTCTCCTGAGCTGCGCTACCAGTTTCGTCAGCGCAACCTCCGTACCCCTTTCCTTGATTCGGGACGCAGCTGCCGTGCAAAGACATTTTCTATGAAGAGCTTAAGAGAGTGATACTATCCTGATTTAAAATATTATTGGGATCGCTAGCAGTGCCCCAGTCCATGGGTAGACAAAGCTCAGAGAGATCCAGCAGCGAGTTAAAGCAACTTTAGAAACCGAACTTCCAGTTGTTGTCTCAGAAGTGTTTGTGATGCTATTTACCCATTTGCGCATGGACCTACCGGCTGCAGTCAATCCATGTGTTACACAGACAAATCACAGCTCACTGCAAGGTTTCTGCTGCCTCAGACTTCTTATACTACAGTACTTTAAAGTGCATGTGTAAATCATGCTGCAATATATTCATTCAAAAGAAAAAAATATATATTTCAAAATGAAAAGCAGTTTTTAATAAATTACTTGAATTGTCAATGTATTTAAGAAATATGTATGTTTTGGTATGTTTGAAGTTAACGCGCAGTCTTGGCCGACGTCATTGATGAATTCCTGGTGGCGTACGCGTGTTCCTAAGCCGAAGGCTTTCAGCCAGTACTGAAGTCCTATGCTGTCAAGGGTGGCGATGTTGTTTTTAGGCTGGTGAAATTTCGGAGCGCTAAAGTGCATGTAATCGCACAGGACTTTTTTTTTTTTTTTTTTTTGGTCAAGTGACTCAAGAAAGTCGTTTTTCTTTAAGGTGAATATTTTTTATTTAGAACACATACTGTGAACTGTGTTCAGACAGGGGAATGATACTACTGAAGAATATAAGACCTTATGGAAGAAATCAGTTGTGAGAAATACTTTTAACTGAACTTCTGCGGTGAATTTTATCATCTCAGTTACATTTAATATATTCTGGTGATAGTCATATATAACAGAAGTGAGTGTTGTATTGCACCCTATAACTGGCATTCTTGTAAAATATAAACTGAGTTAGACATTTTAAAGTGGCTTTAATATTTTCTTTTTAAACCTTTTTGGAAGATCCTGCTTTTGGTTAAAGGAGCACTGTCAAGTATCCCTCCTTTTAATCGCCATTTCTTGAAAGATTTCTGCTGCAGTGTGAAAACCTGCATCCACTGGTCGGCGCCAGCCTTGCCCCTTTCCCCAGCACCAGCGCGTTTCGCTGATCGCGAACGTCGTTTGGAGTTCGCATTGCTCCAGGTAGCGGCTGCTTAAGCCAAAATCCCTTTCGCAGCACGCTCAAGCGAACCGCGCTCGAGCTTTGGGGAGGGACGAGGAGCTGAAGCTCCCTCTTGCGACCCATCCAGCAGAGGGAAGGTGAGACCGTTTGGGAGGGCTGCCATCGCACGCGTTATCGTTCTTATTTAGCTCTCTCTGTGGTGGGAAGGGGCGAGGAGGGAGGCTGACGTTTCAGCCCCGGAGGATTTCTCGCTCAGAGGCTGGGGAAGGTCCCGTTTCGTCCTCGCCGGCGTTGTGCCGAGCCTCGCGTCTAAGAACGGGCCGTTAAAAGCCGTGTTGGGGATTGTTCACGGGGCTGTTTGATTGCCGTTGGTAACACATAAATATACATGGTGCTTTGTAGCAGGAAGTTGTGTTTCACTCCCCCGTAAAGCCGAAGGAAATCATTATCCATTGTAAACGCTCCGGAGCGTTTGTAGTGTCGCCAGGAGAATTCACTCGGGGTAGCCCCTGCCAAGGGATCTCCTCCTGTACCGCGGCCAGCCTGCGAAACCGCAGCTCTGGCGTGACGGGCGCTCACCGGTGACGGTTTCTGAGATTTGTCGTATTTAATGCTATTTTTTCCCTTGGATTTGAGAGATTTTTCTTTCTAGCCCCGTCACCTCTCGGGCTCGGGCGGGCGTTCCTGTGATTCTGAATGCGTCCCTCGCCTTGTCTTTTGATGCCAAAAGATTTCTTTTCTCTTTTTCTTTTCGTAATCACAACTAAAAGGTGTAAAGTATTAGGTTGTGTGTCTTCTCGCAGAAGCGGAGGGAAGAGAGAGTTGAGGGGGCTGTTTTTGTTTCTGGGGACAAGAAGCATCGTTTTCGGCTTGCCGGTATTACTCTACGGCTGATTTCATCCCGTGTGCTCCATCTCTCAGGATCTTTCCTGCAGTAGGTTTAAGGTTTGGTGGTTTACTTCTGCCTTGCTCTATACCGTAAACAGTTTTGCAGGCTCATCTTTCTAGTGACACGTGACGCCTCTGAGATCAGACCCCGTTAGCGCTCGGGTTCGCGAGTGTTTGAGGAGAACTTCGTCGGGGGTCAGCTGCATGTCTAGAAGTATTTTGCATTAAAGCAGAGCGGCTCAGACGTAACCGTCGTGGAGGGCGTAGCATGGATTTTGCGCCACTGGGTTGTCGCAGAGGCCGGTCGGATCCGAACCGTTTGCGGATGGCAATTTCAGATTACAGAAGCAATAATTTCTTAGGGATGTTTCCCTTCTGGCTGGTTAGACGACCTTCACTACCTGAACAGCCTTTTAATAGTACAGATCGGGTCGTTAGCTAGCGCTGGCAGTCAACAGAGCTCTGGGCAGATGTGGGAAGGAAGGGAGGTAGGTAAGCGAGGGAAGAAGCCGGTGACCCCACCAGAAGTTCGTACTCTTTGAAACACCTCATGTCCCTTTCCCCTTTCGTTTAGAGCCTTTTTCTAACGTACGAAATGTTCCCCGTGCTGAAGGCTGAGGAGAGGCTGCTGGGAACGTGGCCTCCTTGGAAGTGCCAGCCCTGCCCGTAGAGCCGGGGGACGAAATCCCCTCCCGTCCGATTCGACTCCCGCAGCGTTTGCGTGGCGGCGACTTAGTGCCAGATGCCTCCTTCAAGCCTCCTTTTCCCCCCTTGTCAAAACCTGTCCTCGGCGCGCGGTGAGAGCCTGGTCTTGGGCCAACGTCCGCCGTGATCGAAGGGAGGGTTTTCGCGGCTGCCCAGCGGCCTTCGTTGCGTCCGTTGGCGGCTCTGCAGGTTGAGGTCACCTTTACAGATAGAAGATGGTGAAAGTTGAATTTTATTCCTGAGAAGGCTTCCGGTGGCTGGGCGGGCAGGAAGGGAGAGCAGGGGAACGGCCGCGCGCCGGAAGCGCGGCTCGGTGGGCAGCGCTGTTATTTTGGTGGTCGTTCAAGTTTTCGGTCATTGCCGTTTTCGCAGAGACAAGTCGCTGGGTTGCGCCACGCGCTGCAGCTCAGCGTCTACGATGACTTCTAGTTCAGCCACTGAGGTTTAGGTGCGCGTGTGTGTATGTATCTGTGTGTATATATATACATATATAGAGATATATATATATATATATACACATGCTGTTTGGGCCAAACTATCGTTGATGGTTGTGTGCTCTTTGTCGCTGTGCTGCACAATGGTTTCCACCGAGTTCTTCCAGTTTTTCCCTCATCCCAGTCTGATGCGACACAGGCTCAGCTACAAATACGTCTCCTATTTAAATAAAGTGAAATCCTGCATGATGATCTGAGCACTTGTAGCAGCTTCGGCATCTGAAGTGTCTGTCGTGAAAGAGGAGTTGGTTTTATTTGCAGCTGTTTTGTCCTTGTTTTCTTTTCATAGGCCAAATAAATATAACGAACAACCAAATGTTGCACAGAAATGGTATTGATGACTGTGTATAAGAAATACCAAATTTTATTTTTCTTTGCGGAAACTTTATGGTTACAGATAGTCCTCTAGTTGTTATTCTTCCTTAAACTGCAAAGCGGAAAGTTTGTAAATTGCATTGAAAATGGTCATTTTTTAAGAAGTTGAGCTACCCAAAGTTTGCTGTTTCTCATGTTGCATCCAGAACAAGCGGTTTGCAAAGGCAAGCTCCAAAAGCTCAAATGCAGAGGATAGTCTAGCTTAGAGCATCAGCAGTTTGGACAGTTAGGAAATTGTGTTAGATAATAACAAAAAGACTCAATTGTCTTTTCGTAATATGGCACTAACAGATGACTTCAGTCTGTCAGGGCAGCAAGGTCTCGTCATTAGGATGTTCAGCTTTTCCTGTAATTTAAATTAAGCTCATATCCTGTAAAACTGAGGGGAATTTTTGCCCCTTTTTGTTTCCGCAACCCAAATAGCCCTGCAGCCAGCCTGGCTCTTAACTTTGCCTTCCCGGTCCTCCGGAGAGCACGGAGAAACGGGACCGGGGCCGCCACTAAGCAGACTTCACTTGACGTAGAAGTCGCAGCAGTTCAGTCGCAAGCGTTTGCCACCCAAACGCGACGCCCAACTAAAACTAAAAGGTTTTTCAATGCCTTTTTTGACCTGCGAAAGTTTTAGAGAAAACCCAGTCCATTGGTTCAGTGTGACGCGCTCCGACGCGTCTCTCTGACTTTTGGAAGCTGTGGGTAGAGCTGTAGGAGCGTAGCCTCGCTTAACTAGTCGTTAGCCTTGTTTAGTCTGCACCTACTCAGTACTCAGTGATAGCCAAATTGTAGTGAATAGCCCCAAAGCTAGAAAGCCTTCCCTCCAGACAAATTGGCAGTTCCCAATTTTTTTTTTTTTTTTGCTGATGTAACATGAACACTAAGCCCTTTTGGTAGCCAAATGACCAGCTTATTTTAAATGCCTCGTATTAGTAGAAAGCTGCATATAGGCATCTCGTAGCGGAAAAAAAAAAAAAAAGACTATTTAGTTCCTTTGTGAACTGGCCATATGACAACTACTTTTTTATCAACTTATTAAGTTGGGGCACTATAATAGCTCTTGCTGAGTTTAGCAATGTTTATAAGCATGTGTTAAACACATAAGTTTTATGAGGAAAAAGGGATAAAGAAAAGTAATGTCACAGATGAATGTTTGAGTGAGTAGACGGCATAATGTATGTATGTTTTTTTTATTTCTACACTGTTGAGCTTATTTTCTGTTTTAAGGTTAAAAAAAAAA